ATATGGAGCTCTAATATTGGGGGGGCGGGGGGGGCATACGGAGCAGTTCCAATGTAACCACGTTGTACATGTTATCCATTTAGGTCCAAAAATGTTATTGTTAAAAAGATGTGCTACCGAAATTATGCTAATTAAACTATTTGCTGATATATTCTAAAAGCTATAGCCAATATTATTCGCACGTTGCGTAAGTAGTTAATTTAGCTTAGGAAATGGGGAAAAAAGGTTAGGTCATCAGTTAGTTATTTTAGAAACGAGTTTAGATTCTTGTTTACACTAACAGCAAGAATAACCGAGTTTAACGACAGTGACAATCAGAATTAATTCTTAATTAATTAAAACTTGTGATTAGAGCGGTCAGGAGAAAATACTGCAATTATTGTTAAGTTTCTACAGATAGCCAAAATTGATTGCGTTTTAAAGCTGCTCTATTCCTGAAGTGTCATATTAGGCTGTTTTTTTTTGAGGTCTTATTTGTAAAAATAATCTATATTCCACCTGTAGAAGTATTTGACATGTTTCATTTATTTTTTCAAAATATCGAAAACTCAACTGTTTCTGTTTGAATCTATGTAATGGACGGAGTATCCTGGTAGGTATCACCCAATCTAAATTTTCTTAAAATCATTTCATCATTTACATTAAGAAGGCGAACAGCATGCGCGGAAGAAAATTTTGCAACTTGAACCTAATATAGGGACCAGGAGAACTGGAAGGTACTTAGGACTGAAGGAACATAAGTAATTATGAAGCATATTGCAGAAGTAGCATCAAGTTCGCAGATAGATTTCAGGAAGCCAAAAGCATGCACGGAAGAAAATGTTGTAAACGTATTGGCCCATGTGCAACTTGCACCTAATATAAGGACCAGGAGAACTGGAAGGTACTTAGGACTGAAGGAAAAGTAATTATGAAGCATATTGCAGAAGTAGCATCAAGTTCGCAGATAGATTTCAGGAAGCCAACAGCATCCACGGAAGAAAATGTTGTAAACGTATTGGCCCATGTGCAACTTGAACCTAATATAAGGACCAGGAGAACTGGAAGGTACTTAGGACTGAAGGAAAAGTAATTATGAAGCATATTGCAAAAGTAGCATCAAGTTCGCAGATAGATTTCAGGAAGCCAACAGCATGCACGGAAGAAAATGTTGTAAACGTATTGGCCCATGTGCAACTTGAACCTAATATAAGGACCAGGAGAACTGGAAGGTACTTAGGACTGAAGGAACATAAGTAATTATGAAGCATATTGCAGAAGTAGCATCAAGTTCTCAGATAGATTTCAGGAAGGCGAACGGCATGCACGGAAGGAAATGTTGTAAACGTGCATGTGCAACTTGAACCTAATATAGGGATTAGAACAACTGGTAGGTACTTAGAACTGAAGGAACATAAGTAATTATAAAGCAGATTACAGAAGTAGCAGCAAGTTCTCAGATAGGTTTCAAGTTTTACAGATTTGCAGTGGCGTGCCTTATTTAGCCACGAAATAAGGGCAGTGAAACTGGTATCGTTGCATTCACTTTTCTTTATAAAATGAAATTTTATTTGTAGCATTATTGATATTTATTTTCCTCCACCACTTTCTCTAGGTAGATAGATAAAACGGAAAAGAATCTGGCGGCCATTCTAGAATTTTAAAAATAATATTTAGGAATTTCTGTTGGCCGCTTTGGTTATAAGGAGGAACAGGAAAAGAACAGTGGGTACAATGGCTATTTTTTGTTAGCCTAAATTCCTCACTCAAGACTTGGTGTTGGTGACTAAAAAAAAATGAAGCTAAAGCTAATGAACCAATAAACTAACTGCTAAACCTAGTAATTGAATAAAAAAAAATCTTCGAAATCGTCGTTTTAGAAACTGCGAGCAATATTTTCCCCTGTCGGTTTATTTGGTTAGCTTAAGTGGATGGTAATTCGATGCGAATGGGAAAATCGTCCGCGGTAGTAATTCGTGAACTTCATTCCGACCGGCAATCCTCTTGTCAATTTATCCACTTTTAATCACGATTTTGTATAGCGGGCAACCTTCGACCCACAAGGCGCGGATAAATTGCGGATTGAAGCAGGCAAATTCATTAGCTAGCTCAGGCGCGCCCGACTCCACATGGCGGCCCAAATTTTACTCATTTTTTGCAGTTCTCTAGGTGCACAAGATACTTGAATATGGCGGCGATCGGGGATGAGCGGCCATCTTTTTTTTTTCTATTTCCGACTGTTTTTTTGACATTGCCACGATAAGTGTCCAAAAGTTGAAGCTATCTTCAAATTTGTCGCACGTGTGAAACTTGATTCCCTGACGGAACCTATTTAAATTGGAGATGCTGAGTGGTCGAGAGGTATTTAAAAAAAATTAAAAGCCGCGTTTGCAAAGGTCCAAGAAAAAAATCATTTCTCGAAAACGGTCTAGGCGACCAAAAAATTTCTTGAACGCAAAGACGCGGAGGATTCGGCTCCATAAAATATTATTCTTAAAAATTTTTCGGAAATGTACCGGGTGCGTCGCAAATTCAAAAAAAACCTCAAAAATGGATCCCTCTATTACAGAAAATTGTCTATAACTGAAAGACTGTGCTTCGGATGACATGACCATATAGCCCGAATAAATAGCTGAAACTTTTGTATTTAAGGTTTTCACCTGTTGTACAGGGTGTTCTGGATATTAAATGCTATATTCAAAAATTAACAGGTGTCTTAAATTTGCGGCTATATACTTCAGATTTGGTAGAACGGTTGAAGGCCACACCCGCATTTTATTCGTTGAAAAAGGACTTAATCAAATCTCGCAAAGTATATTTAAAAATTTTTGGAAATTTTTTTTGTTTTCTCAAAAACTATTAACCCGATCGGCAAAATTTGTGAATGCGGGAGATCCAGTACCATAACATTTATCTCATGCATTTTTTCCATTTTATACAGATTTTTTTAATTATAGATAAAAATCTAAGACCCTGAAAATCGTTCTTTTCTCTGTTAAATTATTAGCCGTAAATCAAAATTCGTAAAAAATATGACCGATTGGTTTAAATAGGCCACATTGAGAGCTACAGTTTTTATATTTACGGTTTTCGTCTATCACATACGGTGTTCGAGATATTTGAAAAAATCCAAAATCTAGACGCGATGGCGTCATTTACTAACACCACGAGTGCATGGTTTCAGAAAACAAGTATTTTCTTGCAAACCACTTACTCTATTGGAAAGTATCATATACCAGGAAACCAGGGCTATTTAGAACATTGTTTGAATTATATACAGGGTGTGTCGTTTATGGCCAAAAAATGAAAACATCCTAAAAATTTCCGTTTTTGTGGGTAAATTATTGGGGATAAATGAAAAACTGCTAAAGATGAATTTGATTTGAACACTATCGTATACTGTGTAGAGAGAGTTCCAGGTTTCGTCAATTATACAGGGCGCGCGAGATATTTGAAAAAATATCATTCGACAACGTCATTATTTGTACAAATTTTAATAATTAACAAAGTTTGAAGTTCGGCGCGACTTGAAAGACACTTTATACAGGGCGTCTGCACAATTAAATTACATCGATTTTTGCGAAAGTTCCATAGTCGTCCGCATGAGCACAAAAACAATGCGTCCCTTTACCACAAGAAACCGCAAAGCTTTTTCATTTTAAATTAAAAAACTGCTTCGCGCTACGCGCTACAAGCTTGCTCCACCAAGCTACGATTTTTCGAAAAAACTATGAAATCGAATCTTGTCAAAAGTATCGCGTTCCTTACTACAAGTATTTTTAAAAAAATTAAAAACTGCGTTTCGCCTTTTAATGAAAATTTACACATAACTAGACGACTGTGATTCACTAGTCAATTTGTTTTACACCAAAATATAGCTCGTGTAGACAGCTAAGACTAAGATTTTTACCTATTGTATAGATAGAGTGTTCGCGATATACCGTGCAATATTATAAAACGTAATATGTGCCCTAAATTTGCAGCTACCGACTTCAAATTTAGCGGACAAGTAGACGTCCAGACCCAGATTTAAACCATTGAAGTTTGGCGCGATCAAATACCGCAAAGTATTTTTTTTAAATTTTGTTTTTTTTTTGGCTTCCAGAAAAAAATTATTTTCTCCAAAATTGTTATTCCGACGGGCAAAATTCTTTAGTCATCAGACGCGGAAGATCCAGTGCTATAACTTTTATTTCAAGCATTTGTTCGATTATATACAGGGTTTTTCAATTATGGACAAAAATCTAAAAGACTCTGAAAATTGTCCTATTCCAGAGTCAATTGTGAGCAATAATTCAAAACTCGAAAAAAATATGGCTAATTGGTTTAAACAGTATAGGCCACATCGAGAGCTACAAGCGTAGGTAAACTTTGTGCAATAAAATTATGCTACGACTACTCGAATTTTACTGTGCGACTGATATCCCGAGAAAGTCCCAGCAAACCAGTTAACATTCTAAAAGTGTACTTCGAAGTAAGGTTCACTCTTTATATTTTGAAATGGAAATCCCCAACCTATTGATGACCGTGATAAATGCATGACCGTAGTAAATAAATCGTTTATCTTGATAAGACATAGTACCAAAACTTGGGCAAGACAAAAATGTAGCCCGATGTTCAGTACGCATAGGGACTGCGAAAGCACGGCCTATCGATCCTTCTGACTTGAAGAGTTTTCAGCAAGCTTTTATGGCAGGAATGACAGTTACGGTGCATTCAGGAAAAGGGAAGAACCTAATAACAGTTTATGTATTATGCTTTTCTATAATTTAATTTCTGTGTAATGAGTAAATGAGTTAAATAAGAGTAACTAATATTATATATTCTGTTCATGTATTTAGTTTTTCAATGTTAGTGAATGGTTTACAATAGCTACCACCCATAAATTGACTCAAACAAGGATGGCACACCTGCAGGAAACAAGTTTTCAATGGAATCAATGTCAACCAATGAAAGTGGGTCACGCTAAGGTTTTATTGCTCTACACCTTTCTGTAGGTCTAGTTGTTTATCATCGGCCTCTAGCTTAGCGCGCGCCTATATTTTCTAATAATAACATAAAATAATTTTTCAAACGTCTTTCTCACTTCTTTACCGTTTTATTTAGACCGCAGACATTGTTTACAATCTTTTTGTTTTTTTCCCGTTGTCTCTTTTTTTCTTCGCTAGAGACTCGGTCGTGTTCCCGTAGCGATCGATCAAAACTCGGGACTGTTCCAACATGGCCGCCGACTCGTTTCGTATAGCTGCAACATTGGAAAACACTCATTTAACCAAAGCATATCGACACGATTTAAATTTTTGCGATATATTCAAAAAAGTTATTCAGAATTTTAAAATGTATTAAAATTACGAACGAACGAATATACAATTTTTTTTTAAGTAGAATGCTAAATGATAATAAAATTAATTAATGTCTAAAATTATTAATAATTAAACAGTTCATTTTACTAATAAGTGGCCATTTTATTGTTTAGGTTAAATTTTATTATTTTCAATTCTAATACTTAACGCGCCAACTAATTTGTGGTATAAATTATAGAAAACATCGTTACTGCGTTTCACTGATAATACCTTTATCCGAATCAGAAATTTTTATAAATAAAAATATTATCGGCAATTTTCAAAATGGGAAATTAGGAAAACGCGCTAGGCAGGGAAGATATTGCCATGCGGTTATACCAACATTTCTCAAAAATGGAATTGCAGCACTTGTAAGTCGAATTTTCTCCATCTAGCTCTAGAATTCCGTAAAACTTACACTTAATTGAAGGCTCGCAAATTCATTTTTAAAGTGTTATATATACAGGACGTTTTTAAGAAAAAAAGTTAATATCAGTGTAGGTCCGCGACCACTTTCTTTTAGTAATAACATTAGTAGATTCAAGAGTACTTTTTACGCCCCTTGTTACTTTCGAAAAATGCGACCCCCGTTGAAATGATCAGCGTAAAAAAAAAATTTTGTTTGTTTGTCCGTTCTCTGTTCCGGTATTTTTCGACGATAACTTGCGAGCGGTTTGAGCTATACGCTTCAAATTTTGGTCCTTTTTAACCGTCCACAGGGTGCATAAGATATTTACAAATGGATGCGTTCAAGCCTCGGCGTCCATCTTTTTTTTTTCGATTTTCGACTGTTTTTTGGACATTCCTATGAAACACGATAAGTGTCCGAAATTTGAAGCTATCGACTTCAGGCAAATAGCGCTTGGTCCCCTAACGGAATCTATTGGGGCTTAGAGGGACGGGAAGTATTTAAAAAAAAAATAAAAATCGTGTTTGTAAGGGTCTAACAAAGAAATCTTTTTTCGAAAACGGTTTATGCAACCTAAAAAATTATTGAACGAGAAGACGCACAACATTTGGCTCCGAGAAATTTTATTCTTCATAATGTTTCAACAATGTACAGGGTTGGCCGCATTTAAAAAAAAAACTGAAAAATGGGTACCCCTAATAGCGAGAATTGTCAATAACTAAAATACTGTGTTTCAGACATTAGTTTCTTTTACACGACGATATAGCCCGTATAGACAGCTAAAACTTTTATATTTAAGGTTTTCACCTATTGCACAGGGTGTTCCCGATATTCCGTCCTATATAAGAAATGTTTTGTGTCCTAAATATATCGACTTAAAATTTAGCAGAGAAGTAAAAGTCAGTGCCCAGATTTAAACATGGAAATTGGGTGCAATCAAATTTCACTAGTTATTTAAAAAAAAAAAATGTGTTTTTTGGTTATTTTGGCTTCCATAAAAACATGCTTTTCTCCATAACCATTCACCGGATCGTCAAAATTCTTTAACCCGGAAATGCGGAAGATCTGGTGCTATAATATTTATTTCACGCATTTTTTCGATTATATGCAGGGTTTTCCAATTATAGACAAAAATTTAACGGACCAACGCCTAGGCGCGATTTTTCAAAAGCAATATTGTGTAGATATATTATATGATTTATATTTAATAATTCCTGTAGTTGGGTCATGTTACGTATTGGAAATAAAGTGCTATTATTATTATTGATACGCAAGGTGTTGTAATTAAAAAAAAAGGGTCATTTTATTATTCATTATGAAAAACTTGCCATTAAAAAACGTGAACAAAAAAATCATATTTAAATTAGCTGTAGGGAGGTACCACCACCAGTATCTCCTCTTAAACCCTGTATATAAAAATAAATCAGCCCAGGAATTACAGATTAAAGATTATGAAACACTCTAAATACATATAACATATGTAAGTGTACTTTTTATTTATTTTGTCAAATTCTTCACTTCATACCTGAAAACCAATGCGTGACAGCTTCGAATTGCTCTTTTTCTTCGCGTTCCCAACGATTCATTTCTTCCCGAATTCGGTCAACGTCGGCCGCTTCGTAATTTATCTCCCTGAGTTTGCTAGGGAAATGAAACGGACTGTTACGAACAAGGGGCCAAAAAATACCGGCAAAAGATTTCTAAATGACTTTCGCCAGAATTTTTCCGCCCGGGACATCGAGTTTTGCTCACCCTGTACGTACCCGATTCGTTTTTCCGCTTCGTCGCTTTCGCGGGCATGCCCCTTTAAGTACGCGTCCCTAACAAACAACAAGGAGTGAATAAAAAAGAGCGTCGCTTTTTGTTGTCGCTTTACGGCGTTATTTACACCTTACTGCACGAAGTATTGTGGCCAAAATTCAAATTTTCCAGTTTTACTTCAGGCTTTATTACGGTATTACTTTTTATAAGACTTCTGGATTCCTCCTGCATAGGTTTTTGTTGACTCGAACTAGCTAACGTTTCGCCAATCATTCTGTTGACTTCTTCAGAGCTTGACTGAAACTGGCTCGCAATTTACTTTCTACCTGCCTATATATTGTTTGAGGGGGGCGGGGCTAAATGAGGGGCATAAACACCGTCTCGGATGACTGATTCCCTTATTGGTGACAGGCATAGACTTTCGGATTTTTCGTTGGTAGAAGAATTGATTACTTGCAATTACGAGCGAGTTTCAGTCAAGCTCTGAAGAAGCCAACAGGATGATTGGCGAAACGTTAGCTAGTTGGACTCAATAAAAACCAACGCAGGAGGGATGCAGAAGTTTTATAAAAAGTATTACAATAGCTTGTGGAAAAAAATTGAAAAAATTTTTTTTCTATTACGCTAATTTTTTAAAATTAATTTCATACTAGTCAGATAGTCCCAGAAGTGTGAAAAGTACCAAAATTGTATTTTTTTGAAAGGACTCCCTGAATATGTTAAAACAAATGCAAGTTTCAATAACGTTTACGATATGTAAGCGTATATAACTTTTAATTACTTTTCGCAGAATACGTTAAATTATGGTTTTTGATATTATCGTAATGAAATGGTTTGTTTAGACCAAAATTATTTTGAATTTAATCAAATCAAAAAGAAGTATTAGTTATGAGAAACCCACCTAGTCCACTACTTGCAGAAATTTTCATGGACATCTTACACACACAAAATGGTTGCATTTTATGTTTTTATCCACAGACTACCTAATATACCACTTTCCACAGAAAATAAAAAAAAATTAGATATAAAACAAATAGCTTTTAACAATGGTTACGACGCCTCTTTGATAGATAATATTATAATTAAAAAGCAGTTTCGAATAACTCTGAACTCTATCTATCCCAAAAATTTAAAACAATAAAATACAAGGAGAACCTAACAAGAGTTGCAGCTTGTGTTTTAAAAAATCAGCCACTATATACTTTTTTAAATTTTATGAAACTTGAAAAGTACATAATTTTTTATCCAGACTATAACGACAACTAAATAATCTAAGGTAAACCAAAAATTATGAGTATTTACAGTAGAATTTCTAAATATCGACTACCTATTTCAAGACTCTTATAAATTCTTTTCTTGAGACTATTACTAACCCTGAGCAACATATTATCTGGTGTGGTGGGAAGCGTGTTGTGAACAATTCTTATATGTATCACAATAAGTGTTAGGTCCGGTGATCTAAGGTAGCGAATTTGGAAATCCATGAAGACCTCCTCTACCAAACCATGAAGTTTACATTACAAAAAATAATACTCCTACAGCGAAATGAGGCAAAACTGACAACCTTAAATAAATTATCTGACAAGAGTTAGCCATACAACACCCTGACATGGTGAGTTAATAGTATATTATGCAACAAGTGCGGTAAACGGCATTTGACTCACGAGTTTATTGGTCACGAGCGGAGCGAGTGCTTAATAAACGAGAATTGACAAACGTCAAAATTCAAAATGTGGGAAATATCTCCGATTGCTCCCAAACCCGTACAGTAAAATCCCGGGAATGTCCGAAGTGGCTTGGATTGGTGGGAGACGAAACAGACGTGGTAGATTAGGCATTTCACAGATGGGAGTAAAAAAAATAGGTTAATCTGCATACTGAAAATAATTTCAAAAAAGAGAGTAAAAACTTATATATTTGCATATTTTCTGAAACCCAGAAAACGAATTTTCCGCGGAGGCGCGCGCGCGCCGCGTCCTAAAACTTTAACTGCGCCGCTCTGTCGGTTATATTTTTACGACCATCCGCAACGATACGTCTCCGTCGTTCTTCCTCCCATAAATAACCCCTTAGTTTTCACTTAACTATTTTACGGCGTACACGGTCTTGTCCGATTCCGATTTTTACGGCTAGGATATATACGCTCCTCTTCGCCAACGGCCACGATGACGTAGGCGACAACTTCAGCGCGCGCTTTATATAGTGGCCCCACGATAAAGCATTACAATACGACCAAAAATATAGTGCATGTTTGCTTTGAGGTTTTAAGTATTTTACAGTACCTTGGTAAAACCCATCCCAACAGATGTTTATTCTGCGTTAATTGATTCTTGCCTGAGATGGACCGTGACGAATATTCGCAGAAACTTGAAATTTGTATTTAAAACGTAAATGGACCGTTTTAAATTTGATTAAGCATTGATGCTGCTGGATATTTTCGAACAAGTAGAAGGTTTATTTTAACATCAGGTGATATGTATCATTTCAACAGTTTAATCTATATTGCATTATGTTCGTATATATTACTGAGGTATTTGAATGTAATCCTTCTGGTAAGTACGTATTTATGTCCCTGCATGGTTGTTTTCAATAGATAGTTCAAAGGGTAAGGGTAAGTACATGGTACTCTATTTATGTACAGGTAAGTTTGAAAATAATCATTTTTGTCTGTGTGCCAAAATTCTTCTTCTGGTATTTTTAAGCGTATAGATTATATTCGCAGTACATAAAGGTACGTAATAAGAATACAGATATTTCCTAAAATATTACAATTAAACATTTCTTGAAGGTTCCTGTTTTTTAACACTTTAAAATATGGAGACCGTGGAATGAAGCAGATGTTACCCTGTTAGAAGAACACATGGAAAACAACGCATAATTTGAAAACGGAGTGGAGAATGTAGTCGAACCTAATGACAATTTAGAAGGCGAACTACCGCAGCAAATAAAAAAACGGATCCACTTGTCTTCGGATGCTAAACAAATTAAATAGAAAAATGAATTTTTAGTTCCAAACAATTAACATACGTCAAGTGCTAATGCACGCACAATAATTCTTCAATTGAAGTGAGATGTCTTTTACTTGATGGAAATCCATTTATCAAAATAAATAAGAACTAAAAGTTCAGATTTTCACATTTTCACATGACAATTGTTTCGACAACACCCTGTCTTTATCCAATGTGGACATTCCGCTCCTGGCATGATTAAGGGTAAGGGTCTGTTCGGCAGGGTGTTCTATAAGGGTAAGGTATATTCAGTTCAGTATACATTTACAACGCTTACAATTATCTAAAAAGAAACAAGAATAATTTGTTGCTTAAATTTAAAAAATCTGTACTGAGGGAGATCTCGTATTTGTGGCTTCCCTCGCTTTAAGTTGTTATTTTCAAACTGTGACAAAAAAACACAAGTATTTGTTGTTTTTTTTTTCAATACATCCACATATCGTTGAAATACATTAAGTTTGTTTCTCAGCTACTTACTGTTAATACCAAGCACACACAAAACTAACTTTTCGTGGAGTGACGTACATTGGGGATCTTCAAGAAATTTGCAGCGTATGTGCACTCCGGCAAACATCGATCCCCAAAAACAAAAATTATCTTTAATTTTAATAATTCTAAACAAAATTATTGTTACACATTCCCAAAAATAATTTACAATAGTCAATAATCCATTATCTACTAAATGACGGACGTTTTGTAAATTCGGAAGCCTGTGGAAGTTTCTTTGAAAAATCTACGTTTTTTCCGAATGGACATTCATATAATATAAATTAATTGTCTTTTATTGCTGACTAATATTAAGTCTATCTGGTATGATCTATTACTCTATACTTTATTTTCATATTTTTTATTGTTTGCAATTTTTTTCTATATGCTATTTTTGAAAATTAATGTCGAAAATCATTGCAATGAGTGTACTGAATGCAATAGGGACAATAAATATATCGTCTATTGCCTATTAACTAGTTTATTTTTAAAAAGAAATGCCCATCATAGATAAGATTTTAATAGAACTCGACAACAATGACAGACTTTTACTGAAAAACGATGAAATTATTTGCTGGCGACGAAAATGCTTGTGAAGTACCGAGCAATACTCAATAGAGAAAATCTTTTATCTGGAAAAGACATTAATGAAAGTGAATGAATAGGAGATGATAGTTTCTCAGATGAAGAAGAATATTATGACTGTTCATAATTTCATTTCTATATAATGTATTTTTTGTATATTAAAAATAAGGGTATCTATAATGCGTAATTTTTATTCTATTAAAATTCTTGCTTTTTTACAAGTATCCTACAAGAAGTTGGTGAATGGATAACAATAGGCGAAACTTATAAATCGACTCACACATATAAAAGAATGCAATGATAGTGTCAAACAATAAAAGTAGCTTAAAAAATTGTTGGGTAACTCTGTAGTCCCTTTGTATATCTAAAGGCGTTTTATTATCCTAGACTATGAAATAGACTAAAACAGGAATTAATGGCGTTATAAAGGGTGAGTCAGGATAGAGATTTTATTATACAGGGTGGTTTAAAAAAATGGAAGGGCGCTTTTTATTGGCACGCCTGATATTACAGTAATTAATCAATTCACGACAATTACTCTGATATAAAGTTTTTTGTAAGGTCTTAAGCTGATCGGTAGACGATTAAACTAAAACAATGTTATTGAAAACCCTGTATATTTGGAAAGTTGATTGATTTCGATGCAAAATACTTACATATACAGGGGCTTGTATTTGTAGTAATTAAATGCCGATGGAAGTTGTGCGTCTGGGGTTTTCAATACATTAGGTGAAGAATAACAACCTTTTTAAATTTAATCTTCAATATTTGCCTATTTATCAGCTATATATATATATATATATATATATATATATATATATATATATATATATATATATATATATATATATATATATATCAGAGTAATTGTAAAGAGGAAGACAATCGATTCGATTACTCGACAGTATTTTAAAAGGCAATCCATTTTATTATCAACCACTCATTATTTTTTGGTTAATGGGTGTGGAAAATAGTTTGTTTAAAATTATTAATTATTATTATTATTAACTATAACTTTTTCAAGTATACCATGATCAGAAATATTGTGTTTTACAAGCGACCCCGTAATTAACGTTGCCTACTGTTACTCCAAAACCGCAGCCCCTTATAGAAGACCCTGCCGAGCAGACGCTTACCCGTAACCATTCCAGGACCGTCCTAAGAATTTAGCTACCTACACCAGCAAGATGGATGTAAGCCGAGCAATTCTTGAAATATGTAAATAAAAAAAATATTACAAAGTAACAATTTATCAGGTTCTGTTTCATTACATTTCTACATTGTAACATTACTAATATAGAAAATATTAAATATAATAATAATAAAGTATCATTAAAAAGTATCACTTAAAAAATAGTCACTAACACTACTGTCGTTGCCTAGTTCAATGATCAACTCCACCACTAATCGTTCTCGATCAATATTTTCTTCTTTTAATACTCGTTTGTCACAGTTAGACCAGTTTTGTTTATCACTAAATTTTGGTGCAGTGTAATTTCTTTTTATATGCGCTTTCAACTCAACTAACCAAATCATCTCAATCGGGTTAAATATACAATGATCCGTTTTGTTGTGCTCTCGAACGACGAATATAATCTATACTCTTAAAAAAGACAGTTGTTGTTGTTTACAAATCGAAGAACTATGTAGAAGACACGAGAATACAAGAAGAAGACTGGTGTTAATCGACAGGCACACAAGACAAAAATGATTATTTTCAATCTTACTTGTAAGATAAATAGAGTGCACGTACTTACTTACCCTAACCCTTTGAACCATCCGGTGAAAACAGCGTCGCAGAGTCAAAGCTCGAGATTCAGGTGCATAAATAAGTACTTACTCTAAGGATCACAGTCAAATACCTCTGTAATATATACGAACATACTGCAATTTAGATTAAACTGTTAAGAACGATATATATCACCTGACGTTAAAATAAACGCTTCTACTTATTCGAAAATACCTCGCAGCATCAATGGTTAATCAAATTGAAAACTGTCCATTTAGGTCAGTCTCTACAAATATTCGTTACGGTCCATCCCAGGCAAGACCTACTAAATGCAGAACAAATATCTGTTGCGAAGGTCTGCGGTTAAGGTATTGTAAAACACTTAAAACGTCAAAGCAATAAATGCACTATATTTTTGGTAGTACAATAACTATTTATTTTATTTTTGTTTGCAAGATTTGTTTTGTCACGTCTCATATATAATAATTTTTTATAAACTCTTCTTTGGATTTCCTGCTGTCGGCTACTGATTATTACATTTTACTTGTCCAATTGCGTTTTGCCGTTGGTCGCGTAACTGTTCCGCTGCGTATTCCGGATGTACAAAATCACTGGCGGGTAACTTGAGAAGCAGCGACGTCTTACGGAATTTTCGCGAGGGCTCGTTGATTTTTTTTCTTTTTCATTTAACTAGTCTTTGTCGAACGTAAGTAGCTAACAAATACTTATGCAAATGCGTCGGCGCGGTGCATTTGCATAGGCATTCGTCGAGTGCGTTTTAGTTTTAGAGTTCTGTTATCTCGCGTCGAACATTGTTTGCATAGTTTCGTATCGAATAAAAATCCGTGGCTTTCTCTAGTGCTCATTACCTCGACCGCATCCCGCGCTCGTATCGGTCCGGCTCGTTCTCGTACCATTCTTTCTTCATGCCGTGCCTGGTCGCGATCTTGCTTCGATCATCCTCAAACCGCAAACGGTCCCCTGACCCGTAAACGATAGTCAGAACGTAATACGGCCTTTCTAGCTTATCTGGTTTTCTACCTTCCGTTGTCGGTTTCTTCCTGGAAAAGTACGGGGTTATTCATTATATTTTGACACCCACCTACGACGTTAATTTTGAAAAAAAAGTTGTGCAAATGTCGGAAAAAACAAACGACAATCGCAATCTGTCGAAATGGCAGCAATATCTTTTTTTTAATGGAATGTCCTATCTTTTTGGGATATTTCAGTTTAAAAATAATTTCTCATTCGATTTCTGTACAATAGCCATTTTGTTTAAAAATGGTCAAGTCCGCCTTGATAGCAGCCATATTGTCTCTGTTTGCAAATGTTTTAACAACTAATCAAAACTAAAAATCTGCAGCGTAAGTTAAGTAACTTAAGATATTTCAAATGGAGGAAGAAAAATGATAAATAATAAAATTATATTATTCAAACAATAAAATTGTCAATAATTAATGCTAAACATTTTCCACATAACCTCCATTATTTTATATACATCGGACAATATTTCCTTCCAATTTCCTATTTTCTCTGTTTAGATCTTGTAAAAGGATATTAAGTCTTTCCATTATCACTTGTAAATTTTAATAATAAATTTTATTTTTTACACAAAAGTTCAGATTGGGGCTATTAGCAGGCCAGTTGATTTATTATTCCGATAACCGGTTGGACATTATGCGGAGGTGCGTCATCTTGATGTCAAATTAACCCACATTTTCCCAAGCATAAAAAAAATAGTTTTTTGCTCTGAAATTATTTATTTTGTTGCAATTAAGAATACATTACATGTGTCAAAAAAAAATAAAAACTCGAAACATACCAAAAAATACTGGTGCGTAAACGAACCACTGGGAAAAACATTAAATAATGTTTTGGGGCACATAAGATGTAACATATAATTTATACAGAAATATACAAAAGAAAGTTAAAATTCGACAGAAAACAACTAAAAGTAGATTGTAGTAGATAAAACCAGTGGTCCGTTCAAGCACCAGCAAATATTTTCAAAAAATAAAGCATAATCAATATAATATTTCCAATGTATGTTTTCTTGCAACACTATTTTGGATTTACTTGAAAATATACACATTTTTGTACCGCTTTTGTTAACTCTTGAAGTCATATATAAGATCTTTCCTTTACAAATAAATTAGTGATTTCTACGGTTTTATATCCTCTAGTAGTGATAATAATAAAATTTCTAAATGGATGTGCAAAAATATTTCCCGGATGTGACAAAAAAAATCATCCCCAAAAATGGTTTAAATTGAAATAATTCCTAAGTGGCACATTTTCTGACAACCGTTCTATTTCTGTTGCAAGGAAATTTAAATATCGTTGGCCGTTCAAGGGTCCTTCGTATATAATTGGGCCGACTACCATATTGTTCAACGTACCATAGCATACCAAAAATGTTTATTCTTCCTATTACATACTATTATTATTATTTTGACTAGAAAATTTCAATCTTCTTGAATTCTTTTATGTCAGTGCAAAATTCGTGCCTCTGCGTTTTATGTTCATCGGTTAAATTTTGCACTGATGATATTTTAGCGTAGGACTTTCCAGATAATTTTTTAACGTCAGGTATAGAATATTCTGGATTTTTTTTCTATTATACAATGAGCTCGTGTGTTTACTGGTTGCTCAGGTTGTTCCATATATCAACGAGTAAATTAGGTAATTTTTCAGAGTCGTTAAAGTAGGACAAACATTATAACACCCAAGGCTCCCGGTGGGAATCGAACCCACAATCTCCGACAAGTTCGAGTTGGCAGGTCAACACCTTACCAACCGAGCCATCGTCGGTTCCTTTTCAGGATTTTCTGAAAACTATGAAACATAAAAATTCGGAAAGTAATACTCAGAGTTGTTATGTGATTGTGAAAGTAAAGTCTTCATCAAAATTTCTTTGTATTTTGCTTGGTATAGCGTGTGACACTATTTCGGTCCCCAAATTGTTTGAATAATATAATTTTATTTGGCATTTCTTCCTCAGTATAACCCATTTGAAATATCTTACGCTGCAGATCTTATCTAGTTTTGATTAGTCGTCAAAAGTGGAACATTGTTAAAACCATTGCAAACGTAGATAACATGGTTGCTTTCAAGGCAGACTTGTCCAACAATACAGCTATTGTCTAAAAATCGAATGCTGATTATTTTTAAATTGAAATATCTCGAAAACCGGACAACAAAGTACGTGTTTTTTTTAAGCTAAGCTAATAATATATAGGGCGTTCCATTTGAAAAAAAATATGTTGCTGTTATTTTGACAGCTTGCCATCGTCGTTCGTTTTTTCTAATATTTGCATAAGATGATAGAGCGAAAATCGTCAAACTTTCTTATTAAATCTTTTTTTTTCAAAATTAGCCCTGCAGTTGCGTGTCAAAATATAATGAATAACCCAATACGCGTCCACTCTGCGTTCGCTAACATTCCTCCACTCGTCCTCTGTCAGGCTCCAACTTTCCCCCACCACGTTCGCTTCAATGACGTATTTCCCCGACGTCGAGCATGCCACGAGCGACAACAATGCCGCGCCTGCTCCCGCGCGTTCGCCGATAACCGCGCCCTCTGCGTCGCGAAATCGCAACCTTATTTCCGGCACGTCGTTACTGCAGGTGTCCAAGTGGACAGTGAGTAGGCAACTCGACTCGCTCTCCACGCGATACCTGCACACGAGTCCCTCCCAATTGGGGATATAATTGCCCCGGAAGTGAACGGAGACGGGATTAGTGTCGCGTACCGCCACGGTGGCGCGACGCGCCGCTTTTTTCGTCGCCGCCACCACCAACGTGGCGTTCATCGTCTGGACTCCTTCGCATCGTCCGTAACCGAGGACGGTGTAACCGTTGACGTTGGTTCCGAACATTTCCACATTGTACCGCGCGACCGCGACGAGGTGATCATTATCAAACACTTTGACGCATGAACGTGGAAGATTGGTGAACAGGTTGATTGTTACCGGTTGAACCGAATTCACGTCGAGACTGTATCGGCATATCGACGCCCAGCCCTCTTCCCCGACTTGTTCCGCAATTTTGAACTCTTTAACGTCCAGCACGTGGTCCAGGTCTTCGACTACGTCAAAGTGCCGCGTTAATTTATTTCTCGCCATTTTTTCCGAGAACGATCTAACGATCCGGATCCAGATGTCGAGGTTTACAGACGAAAACGTCTTCCTCAGCTGTTCGGCTACCGCTAAGGGAACCTTGATCGGTTAACTTGGCTAAACAGCCTAACAACATACCCGAATACTCCTTGTGACGCCCTCTGATTAGCATAACGCGACGTCTCACGTAGACTCCTTTAAAGTAAGACTGCAACTTTGCAGCGGCTTCTTCCATTTTTCGTGCGTACCCGATTTGAACGTCGGTTATCAGTAGCGTGGGATCAATGTGGTCACCACATCGAACCCGCCTGCCGTCAAAGGTTTTGATTCGGATGAGCAACAACCTCAAATGATCTACGGACACTATCTCGGTTAATGTCTCGAACAGTTCGTCGACTAACGCGTCCCGGATTTGAATCAACTCTAGTCTGGCGATGTCCGTCTTAGGTGTGTAAGAGTCGAAAAATTGCCTAAGGCTGGCCGCGTGGTCCGGCGAACCAAAAGACTGAACCAATCGCCCTAATAAATAATCAAGTTTCGATCAAGGATCCCATCGGGATTGATTGAATTCTTACAGAAACTGGCGGACACCAGTCTGGCGAAATCTATGATCCGTTCGGATTCTTGAGCGCACGCCTGGAGGTGACCGTGCAGCGTCCCGATCCGGAGCGGCTTGTCGCTGAAAACCTGCAGGACATACGAGTCGCGGGAAGCTACCCACATCCTGAACGACTTTCTGCCGGGCTCAAGCGTCACCCCTAAACTCTTGGAACCCACAGTTCTAAGCCTTGCGCGTATCGTACCGAATCCTTTGGATTGCCAGTCGTACTCTTCTAACAAACAACTGATCGGGTTCGCTTGGCATTTCGCCGAGTTTAATCCTTCCTCACTAGCTTGCGCAATGCTGCTCGCAGGAGTGCTCTGTCGTGGCGAAGAGGTTTTAGTCATCAAAATTTCGATACACATATCTCGTGGTTCTGCGTGAACTTGTAGGGACAGTTCGGACTGTTCTTCTTGGACGTGACGTGGTTGTGGTTCTAACACTGTTAAGTTGCCAGCTTGCTCCAAGTTCAACATCAAGAACTTTAGATCCGTAGAGTCGGTAAATACGTAAACCGGTTTAAAACGGTGGTCGTGGAGTAAATATTGAAAATCGCTGCTCTTGGATGAGAAGTTGATGTCGGACACTTTGTATTTGGAGGCAAAAAAACGCGGCTCAAAGTACACGACCAAATGATCGATACGGACATCTAAGTTGTGGAAATCTATCCACGTGGATGGATCGGGTTGCAATTGGTCCCCATTTTGTAATTTCTGATAGGAGTGTGTTTGCGACTCTGGCTGCAAGCGGTTTCGGGCGAAACAATCAACGATCTTTAACGATTGTATGTTTAATTTGGTGACGTCCGGCGGCAGAATGCCCTTTTCCATGGCCCATTTCTCGTAGCGATACGTTTTCCACAATTCGATTTCTAAAATGGTGTGAGTACCGAGTGGAGAGTAGAACGCGTGCGCGCTTATAGTACGGCCAAAAATATAGTGCATTTATTGATTTGACATTTTAAGTATTTTAGAGTGCCTTAACTGTAGACCTTCGCACTTGCTACCTGTTTATATATCATTTGAAGCGGGCGGAGCTAAATGGGGGGCATAAACACTGTCTCGGAGCACTGATTTCCATATTGGTGACAGATAAAGATCTGAGTCGCGGTTAAGATTGTTAGGTTGTTTATAGACTCTCAGCTTTTTCGTTGGTAGAATAATTGATGATTATACATGCAAGAATTTTAGTCTCAGGTAAATTTGAAAATAATCATTTTTGGCTTGTGTACTTGTATTTTTGTGTCTTCGATTTGTAAACAACAGTCGTTTTTAAGACTACAAATTATATTTGCGGTAGATAAAAGTACGTCATAAGAATACAGATCAATATTTATTAGAATCTTAGAATTAAACATTTTTTGAATCTTCCTGTTTTTTAACACTTTAAAATGTGAAGACTGAAATGAAGCAGATGTTCCTCTGTTAGACTAAGCCATGGAAAACGATACAGAATTTGCAGACGAAGTGGAGGTGGTAGTCAAACCTAATGACAATTTAGAAGACGAACTACCGCAGCAAATAAAAAAACGGATCCTTTTGTCTTCGGATGCCAAACAAATCGGTTTGAATGTTTACAATTTTATAAGCAATTCAGAAGGGGAAGTAGGAGCACCAATAAAAATAAGTGACATAACCAAAGTTTCGAAGTCATTTGTTGCAAATGGGATAGTCATGAAGAAAGTGAGAGAAGATGCTGCCACTTCGCTAGTTTTTAAAGTGCAACATGCAGATCTAATTAGGCGTATAACCTACGACGCTTATAAAGTGAAAAGTGTTTTCACCCTAGACGAACTGCATAAAAAACTACTGACAGATTTAAACATTATTAAACATCAGTTGTGCCAAAGAGTCGTTGCGTACTTTTTTGAAGAAAACGGATTGCCAGTTCCAAAAAATTAATTAACGTCACCGCGGAAATATTTTAGAACTGGTTTGAAGATAAACTGTTGCCAAAACTATCGCCAAATACTGTTATTTTGTTGGATAATGCCTCGTATCATTCAGCCCAAATTAGAAAAATTCCAAATACTTCTGGAATTATTAAAAATATTTTTCGATTCGATAGCACAATGAGATTACCCCCGTATCATTGTATATTTAACCCGATTGAGATGATTTTGGAGTAATAAACAATAGGCAAAGTTAATCACGACGTCGGTTGTAAAAGTACTATATTTCTGGCCGAAGTATACCCGGTCTCGGCTGGGGCTTCGTCAACGGAACGGTTCGTACTTGACTCGCCAAGATATAGTAAGGACCTCCAGCGTCACTGAAACGTTGATGTTCGTCGCAACGGACAAAGACGTAACGCGGCACGTTGTTGCATTGACCCCATCGGTATTCTTCGACGTTGTTCATTAGAAGCTGCCATAGTTCCGTAGAAGACAAGTCTAAACGGGAACCGCTCGGAGAAAATATTAAACGCTACGTCAGCGGAATGGGTACCCTTGGCCTTAATCGTTTGCGGTATCCATCCGGTCAGACACTGCACCACGTTGAAGTTGTCGAACAGAGTCAGTGAAGCCAATTTCAGAAGCGCCTTGCAGAGCAGTACCGGCCAAAGTTCGAACGTCCATTTGTCCGGAGGCTTACTCGACGCACCTTGGTCCTGTAGCACTGGCAGCAATATTCTACGGCGTTTATCCAACGGGACCGTGTCATCTACGTAGAGTTTCCTCCAGGTTCCCATCCAGTGCGCGCGCACCACGTACTTGCCTAAGTAAAAATACTTATTATTACACGTGAGCGGTATGGATGGAGCAAAACGTCGTACCTATCGCATTGTACGTCGGCCTGTGCTCCTGTTGGCTCTTGGCAACCTTGCAGTTGGAGTAGACGTGATACCAAGGCCTCCAAAGCTTGTCCAAGTACGGCAAGTAATAGAGGGCGGCGATGAAGGTTCTATAGAATTCGCTTCGGAGCAAATGGCGATTGGCAGCGAGTAAGTCCGGATAAGTTTGGCGATTCACATAAACCACGAACGTCGCCTGGACAGTAAAAAGGGGAATTGGGGTAATTGAGCGAATCGGGCTTCGTGCCAAATGAAACCCGAAACCCGAATACACTTCGTAGCTGAGAAAGGATTTACAAGCTGAGATTTCCGAGTCCGGGTTTGGCAATCGGCCATCAAAAATGAAAAATTTTCTCACGCGGGGCGATATATATTTTAAAGTAGTTGCGTGCAGCGTTCAAAGTTTTCCATTACGTCGGATCGACCCCAATCTATTTTCGGACGACCCCAGAGGCCGTCCACCGACTATTAGATTATTGTTTTTTTTTTTTTCGTTATAGTACTCTTATTCGTATATTACTAAATTAACGTACTAAACTAACTAGTTCGAACATGTTCTAGACTATTTTAAAAACAACAATAATAATAATAATAATAGCGATAATAGATAGATAGATAGATATGGTTTATTGACCACCTATAAATACATGTATTTGTAAGAAGAAAATATAAATACAACAACAATTTGATAAATTTAACAAGAAATAGAAAAAATAATATGTATATAAATATATGTTTATAGAAAAAAAAAATTATAAATAAAAATATTTGTTTGAGTTAACAGTATACACTATATTCTTGGGATATGCGATAGAAATTCCTCAACTGAGTAAAAACCATAACTGGAAAGATAGCTTCTAACCGATAACTTAAATTTTCTTATCGTAAATTGCTTAGCGTTAGCTTTATACAAGCGGTTATAGTTGTTCACAAATATGTTGTATATGTTCAAATTTAGTTTATTTTTCTGAGTAGTGGCTAATCTAGACTTAAGTGGAACAATATTGCTAGATCCGCGTGTGTCGTAGCAGTGGTAGTCACCATGAGTAGGATACCTCTGCAAACCAGCATAATAATAATAATAATAACAATAATAATAATAATAATAATAATAATATATAATGTAACATATTACTGTCAACCCTTCTGAATGACTCCGGCATTGGATATAAAATCAACAAGAGAGAAAGGCAAAAGCTATCCCATTTGCTATATATGGACGATCTGAAGCTCTAGAGTGAGAGCCGAACGGGACTCCAAGCGCTGATTGAAACAGTGAGGACTTTCTCACAAGACATCTGTATGTCTTTAGGGGTGGAAAAATGTGCCATTATCAAGATTAACAGAGGGGGTGTTGCAGATGCGGAGGAGCCGTATCGGGATATTGATGAGCTACCACCTCATGAAACATATAAATATTTAGGGATAACTCAAAACCTACGAATTGACCACTCCCAATTGAAAAAAGTATTTACCGAAAAATACAAGAGCAGGATTACCAAAGTCTTAAACACCAAACGGTCAGCCAAAAATCAGGTCGCAGCTATCAATTCCTGGGCTATTCCTGTACTCACGTACACCTTTGAGATATTGAAATGGTCCGAATCGGACCTTAATGAGTTAGACAGACTAACCCGCCGTCTGATGACAAAATTCCGATGCTTGCACACAAATTCATCGATAAAAAGGCTTTTATCTTCCCAGAAAAAGCGGAGGCAGAGGTCTAGTGAACATCTATAGTCTATGCCGAACGCAAGAAATGAACCTAAGACAACGACTTCCAGACTCGCAGGACCGCTTAATACATTTGATCGCCGAGGAGGACAAAGGGTTCACGCCACTTTTTGCAGCACCGAGATATCCCGTTTGATCTGAACAGGAGACAGGAAAACCAAACTTTGTGGAGACAACAAACTCTACATGGAAAATTCCCTAGAAGTCTGGATACAGATCACATTCCTAAGGTCGCCCCGTTGGCTGGGCAGTCATGAGAATTGAACTGTTTTTTTCGCCAGTTCAGAGAGCCCGCAGCAAGCAAAGCATCTGCAAAGCAAAGCAACAGACCAGTGAGAGCTGAGATGTAATCGTATAATAATAATAATAATAATTATAATAACATATAATAAACAAATTTACTTAATTTGCCTAATAGAAGCTATTATCTTCATTCGGGTTTAAAGGCCGTCGTCGGTTGAAATTACTTCCTAACGTTTCGCTAGTACGAGTGGCGAGATTCTTCAGAGGTCCTTCCATCTCCGATGTTGGACGTAGACTGACGATTTCTCATGCGCAGGTTGTATTTATGCCGATTGGTGGTGGGCGGGGCTTGTTCCGCTTCGGTTGGTCTCGGGATATCGATCGGTACTGTTCGGGCGTTCCTAAGGATCGTGTGCCAGATTTGTTTGAGTCTAAGGGTCTTCTCCTTTCTATTGAAATTGTGTGGGTGTTTTTGTATCTCAATGGCTTCCCTGACTAGTCTGTTGTGATAGCCGTTGATGTTAGTAACTTAGAGCTCTCAAAGTGTATCCTGTGTTCCCTGCTGCCCAGTGCGTGTTCAGCTACTGCAGACTTCTCTGTCTGTCCTAGCCTGCAGCTTGCTTTATGCTCCTTAAGTCTCGTTCCCATTGATCTCTTGGTAGTTCCGTTGCCTCGAACGCAGTTTTCAGGTGTTCAAGTTCCCTCTGGAGGTTCTCCGGTTCGCAAATCCTTCGGGCTCGTTCTGCCAGGGTTCTGATAACCCCATACTTTTGACTTGGGTGATGGTTGGATAGAGCATGCAGGTATCTGTCCGTATGGGTTGGTTTTCTGTAAACTGTGTGGCCCAGCTTGTTACCTCGCTTCCTCACTAGTACGTCCAAGAATGCAAGTTGTTGGTCATTTTCAGTCTCCATAGTACACTGGATGCTGGGATGCTGACTGTTGAGATACTGCAGAAAGTTGTTGAGCTTGTCCAAACCATGTTTCCAAATCACGAAGGTGTCATCCACGTACCGGAAAAACGTTGCTAGCTTGTACTCTGAGGTCTCGATCGCTTTTTCCTCAAAGTGTTCCATAAATAAGTTGGCTATAACCGGGCTTAATGGGCTTCCCATTGCCACTCCGTCCACCTGTTCGTAGAAGTTTCCCTTCCACACTTCAAAAAGTTTGCAAATATCGACAGGAAATATCCTGTTCACCAGGTCCAAGCAACTCTTCAGAGGTACTTTGGTAAACAGTGAGACGACGTCGAAGCTCACAAGGATGTCGTTTTGTTCAATATTGATATCTTGAATCTTGCGCACGAAGTCGGTGGAGTCCCTGATGTAACTGGTGCCGTGTTCTACGTGTGGTTGGAGCAGCGATGCCAAGTGTTTAGCCAAGTAATACGTTGGTGATCTGGGTGCGCTAACTATTGGTCTTAACGGGACATCTACTTTGTGTATCTTAGGTAGTCCATAGAGCCTTGGTGGAACAGTCTCCGTCCTCACAATGCGCTTCTTGATTTCTTCTGACAGTGATGATGACTTGGTTGGTAAGACGTAGTCTAGCTTGCGTCGGATCCTTTTTCAGGAGTTTGTAGCTTCCCGGGTCCAAGAGTTCCTCAATCTTCCTTTCGTAGTCCTCAGTCTTCAGAAGAACGGTTGCGTTTTCTTTGTCCGCTGGGAGTATGATGATACCCTCATCCGGGTTCAGGCTACGCAGTGCCAGTCCTTCACTTCTCGTCAGGTTAGTCTTGGGTGGTTTTGCCTTCCTGAGGATGTTGGCTGTCTCGATTCGTATCTCTTCGGCATCTTGGTCCGGTAGGTTCTTGATGGCTGCTTCCGTGCTGAAGATGATCTCTTCAATCGGAATGTGACGGGGAGTGATTGCGAAGTTCCCTCCTTTGGTTGGCACTGTTCTCTCGACCTCCGTGAACAGTGCTAACCAAAGGAGGGAACTACCTAACACACCTAATAGAGTTATACATCTCAAACGCCTACGTCTAACTTAAAATCAACATTAACGAATAATACAATAATAATGAAACAACAAGCAATAATAATAATAATAAAATTCTAAAAATTTATTATTGGTAAAATACTAACTTGTTCAGGACAGAGACTTTTGTAATTCCAATAAGTAGACCTTTTTTGCTAAATGCTAGAACTGAGCTGGATTCAAAATATTTATTATACTTATTATAAAGCTTACTGCCACTATAGCCAAAGCAACTTTAAAATGTACAAGAATTATGCCGGGGCATACCCAGGATGTTTTTCGTCCGTAGAAGAGCATTGTGAATGTCATACCGAAACACTCGTTTCAGGTACGTTGGTAGTAGTATATTATGCAACAAGTGCGGTAAACGGTATTTGAACTCGAGTTTATTTGTGTGTTTAATAAACGAGTGATTTTAAAAGTTTACTGAACGTGTTGCATACTATACTTTTTCTACGAGTGTTAGTTTTTAGGTGCATTCACTTACATGACCGTCATAATTGACACACGTCAAAATTCTAAGTGTGGGAAATGTCCGACGTGGCTCGCATCCGTGGGAAACGTCAATGACGTGGTAAAGTGACGCTTCCCGCCCACTAGATCGGTGTGTGATTCGGTATTTTACAAATGAGAGTAGAATATTTCATGACCTCAAATACAATAATTGCGAGTAAAAATTGAAACAGATATTTAATTTTAAGCCATTTCAAACTTTCTCAAACCATAAACGAATCGGGCACAGCTGTTCGGGATTTTTGTGCAATCTGGATTTATCGGCAATGGTAGAGAATGGATAATATAATGGAAGACAGAAACTTTAGAGAGGATACATGCCTCAAAGGGTTTTTTTTTTAATATTAATTTAGGCATATAGCGTTTGGAGGTCTTTTTACTTACATTGCAAATGTGGCCACTACATCTCAATTGACCATCCATCATCACTCTCAAGTTTTTTGCTCCATTTGTAAATTTAAAATCTTCATTTTCCAATTTAACTTTAATATAATCGCGCAAAATATTATAGCTTCCAGGGGGAGAAAATAGCGTAATTTGTGTTTTTTTGGAATTTTGCTTAATATTGGGTTTTTTACTATACTGAAATAGCCTTTAATATCCAAATTAAGATTAGCTTCGACGTTATTATAATTAGCTGAGTTTAATGTGTTTAACAGCTGGGTGTCATCAGCATATGAATGAATTTGAAAAAAAAATGACTTTCTCAGACATATCATGTATACA